TAAAACGTAACCGCCTGGGTAACAAATTATTTCGGCTAAATTACGTTTGTTTTGCCTGGCTTTCTAGTTTAAAAAATGCATTGCTACTTGTATTCTACTGTTCTAATTCCGACGGTAAAACTTTCGGTACGAAGACGCTAACACACTCCTTGCAGTTAACAACACAAAAATGAACAATGATAACATTTAATTATTTAATTAACAACAATTAATTAAATGATAACATTTAATTAACATCGTCACGGGAAAAATATTTTTATTTTCAACCCATCAAAAGCAATCTCCTTATGATCGACGATTTCTGATTGGTACACCAGAACGGTTACTATTAACAGTAATTAAGCTTAGGTTAAGCAATTTTTAGTTGATTTTCTACAAAGAAACTTTGAAATATTAATACTGATTCTAATTCATAAATTAATAATAGTTAATAAAAGTTACCTAATAGAACTATTTTTAATTTTATGAAATTATTAATGATGCTGATTACCTTATGAGAAGGGTGTACTTTGGTTATTTTAAGATAATTTACATTATTGGTTAGGGGCCCCGTTTTATATTGGAATTTATGGCCCTTAAATGTCTAGTTACGCCGGTGGGTCTGCTAGTAAAACATCAAATGACAACTAGTGACTAATAACCTTTAGTGAGACATTGATAACATTAGTACACACATATTAAATGAAATAATTCAATATAAACGTATTAAATGTATATTTTTGAACCGGTTAAAACCCGTTGTCATTTTGAAAAGTTTTATATTATACAATAACATTACAAGTTACAAGGTTTTGTACATTTTGTCCATTTCGTCCACTTTTGGACATAGTGCAGCTCAAAATCAAAAATAGTAGACAAAATTAAATCGCTGCCTTAAGCCGCACCCTATTAGCGCTTGTGCTGTTGACCATAGATATTTTTGATCAACGACGACACGTAACGTGAGGGGAGGGGGCGTTCGAAATCAAGTTGGCTGTACCCGAGCAACCCCAGGCCCACCGGTTGCGGATAATTTAGCGCCACATCGCCGCCGATCAAATTACCTACTCGCGACTCACCAGGAGCGGTCGATCTGCAATCGAGAGACCGGTGTGATGTTAACCGGTTTCCGAATACATTTTACACAAATACAGTAGTACAGTACATGTTTCGTTTTTCTGATTCACAACACGTCGGTTGCTTTATAAAAGATGCGTTTATATTACGATGATGTGCCAACTTTGGAACAGCTATACTCTAGACCTGTGATTCTCGATATTTTTCGAATTGTATCGCCCGATTTTTATCCATTTATTTTTCGTTTTTTTATGTGAAAAAACACATTATTCTATCGTATTGTGTACCAGTAGTGAATAGTAGAACGTATCTTATCTAGTCACGAATACGTTTAAACCGTTTTTGCTGTTTTAGTGTGAAAATTATTTTTTTTTTCGGGATTTATTTCGAAGTGTATTTTTATTCTAAACACTAATATGAGTATATTTTTAATCATTTTGATTGGCGAACACGCAATGCACATCAGTATAGCTTACGTTGGTATGGGATCTCGACTACATAAGCGTAGAAGTTGTGTTCGTCAATCATCTCGAATCCTTCCATAGTCATTTCTCTCGCGGAAAGATTTACAAAAATATTTGTTGTTTCAAACGACTACGCGACTTACGTGTTTATTTTTCATAATATTTTAAAAGGTTACAATGATTAAAACACATTTTAATAATGTGCAATTTATTATTACAGTTTTAATTTGTGTATAAACAATAATAATGATAATAATAATAATAATAATAATTAATCAATTAAGTAGGTAATTAATATAACACTATATAATAATAATATGGCTTAGCTAAAATAAATTTACTACTCACATATAGTAACTATTAAACTACAATGATAACGATTTCAATACACTAATCATATATTTTAATAAATATAAATAAATATATATATATATATATATATATATATTTATATATATATTTATATGTACTATATATTCGATGTTGTAAAAACGAGAGAGAAAGACACTCGAATATAATAAATTACAATTTACAAAAAAAAAAAAATTATAATGATTATAATGAAAAAAAACCAAACATAATAACGCTTAAAATTTGTGTTGGAAGACGAGGACGTCGATATGCATTAAGTTGACAATATATTGAGTTATTTATGTTTAATAAGTAAATATTTTTATGTAAACGGCGACCAGACCGCAACATAGTATATGTATAAGTATATTTTCTAATCAATCAAAAATAGTGTTGATCGTAAAATGGTCGTGCACCGGTGGCACAGTCTAACGTAAGAATATTTATAATAATAATAATGATAGTAATAACGATATTGGTAAAACATTTCGAGACGAGACGAGGTTAATTACGCGAACGCGAGGCTCGCTGAATAAAAAATCGAATCAGGTATGTTGCGAAACGGTCGAACGTCTGCGACACGGTTTGCATCGACCTACGAGCTACGATTATTCGAAAACGATGAAGAAATTTCTACCAAGATTTATGAAACATGTGTAAGCGTGAGTATGATTTAAGCGACAAAACAATTTTGGGAGATTGTACCGGACATTTCGGGTCCCGACACGGTGGACACGGATGTGGTTCCTATACGCGCTACATATAAGGGGAGGGATCTATCGGTTGTTGGATATGCGCGGTCACGTGCGATCGTCGTCGTTTTTTTTTTATTACCACGCAAATGATCGCGCCGCAATTGTACCGATGATGATCCCTGAGACGTGTTCGTGACGGCGCGGTGAGAGAAGATTTCGCGTATCGATGGACGGGCTGCGGTTCGCGTTGTGCCCGCTTGGAGAGATGACGGCAGTGAAATAATGATCGATAAAGACACGATCAATCTTCGATCGATAGGTTTGAGGATCGCCTGTGGATCACGTGCGCGCAGCGACGAACGACGGGGGGGGGGACGTGAAACGATATATACGAATCGATATGGAGAAACGGGACGGACGAAAGCGACGACGACGTACCGTACACGATTGTAACGTGTGTGGGTGGATATGCACTAAAACTGCGATACGAACTACGAACTCTTTTCAGTATCGTCCGATGATTGTATCGTCAGTACTTAGATATTTAACTAACAATATACTAATGATGGTCCTTATAACAAACGCAAATCTTGTTTTTTTTTTTTTGTTTTTTTTATGTTCTAAGTATTTATAATTAATTAATTATTTTTTCCTCATTTAATCTATTACGGGTTAACTCTAACCTAAACACTACCGATTTCTACGGGATAATACGAAAATGACGTTGTACGCGTTACACGTTGTACGTTTATGGATGTATATATTACGTTACTTATTATTATTACCGACTGTACACTTATCATAATACTTATATTAAAAAATAATTTTAATAAAGGTAACGATAGACTATAGTATACTAATAGAGAAACGGGCTATAATCTAAACGCATCAACCGTATGGGTCGAAGACGTAAATAGAATGTTCTGAAAACGTTTAGAACGAACGTTACACCATCGAGTGTTGGTTTTGAAACCGAAATACGATCCGAACCAATAGTAGTGAGACGAGAATGAGACGCTACGAAGTGAGTGTAGCGGCAAAGAACATGTGAAACGTTTCGTCGGTATTGATCGGCGAAAAATGCACTCACCTTTCATTTTCTAAATCGTTAGCGAATACCGTAAAATGGCACTGAACTATAACTATATACTACAACGCTGAATCGTATATTATATATCATATAGTAATTAGGGGGCGCAACGATTCACGCGCCTGTTTATCGCCTGCACCATAAGTTTTGAACGGGTTGAAATTTCTGTTGAATAATAATTTGATCAGGGTGAATAATTTTGTTTTGTCGCAAAACCATAATATTGCAGTTAGGAGGAATAGGACGTGATATTATTATTTTCATTTAGACTCCGACCGTCGAAGTAAAAACATGTTTAATTGACGATCCGAACAGTAGAGTACAAAATACCTATAGGATTAATAATAGCTTCGGGTTTGAATATTTCTCATGAATACACTCGTTCAAAATTTCGATATGATCGTCATCGTTACCAATACCTCGAACAATACAGGCGTTTTCTATGTTAGAGTAAAAACGAGTCGACCGTCAGATCGATGTATGATAATAATTATTAATAAACAATAATATTATGCCCATAACTTATAACATAGAAATCGTGGTTTAGAAGATTAGTTAGTATACTTTAACTTTAAGGGAACTTATTAACAACATGAAGTTTAAACGTTATAATATATATAAAAAATCGAAGAAAAACAATTTATAGCGAAAAAATGATTTCAAACCAAATAATATAAATAGTATATTAACACGGCTGAATTGAAGATTATAATGTATATGATTTAACAAAGTTATAGTTTGTAATAAATATTAATGTTTCTACCACGTCTATAAAAACGAAAGGAATAGTTATGGTGCGGTATTAAATAACTTTCATTATGTTCACGGTGAAGTGTACAACTAAAACGCAATGATGAAAACCGTTCATTTTCGAACGAAGTAAAAAAAAAAAGAATCATGTAGCTGTAGACGACGACGTTGCGTTTGTAGAGTATGACGTATACAAAATACAATAGTCTATTGTTTGCGGGTTCGGTTAAGTAATTGACCGTCGCTCTATGTTCTCGTAAGATATGTAATTATTAGTGTTTTAAGGATCCGTTTAGGGAAACTATTAAGTATGAACCATTGGTCGAACGGGGTGTAGCGTGCCGATTATAAATAAAACGTACCAATATCAATATGCGTTTCAAGTGTGCGATAATACTGTTATTGAGTGTGGGGGGAGGGGATTTTCGAATAATAATGTATGATGAATAAATGCGCTCGTTATCCAACTTGGTCTGAAAAAAAATCGGTCTTACAGAAGGAGCGATTGTAAAGAGAAAAAAAAACACACATACACAAAACGTGTCGTTGTAGTAATATGAATAATATGTAGAGTATATATATATATATATATACATATATGTATATATATGTACGAGTATGTATATATATGTAATATGTTGTATGTGTTTTATGTAAAATCATAATTTCGTCTTGATGATTATTGCCGTTATTGATCAAATAAGTGTGGTTGAGAAACGATTAATAATAATGATAATAATGAAAACAGAAACCCAGTAGTTTAGCACGTCTACGACTCCCCTATGCCGTGAGTTATTTATTCCATTGTATCGTACTGGACTTTCTTGATTTTGAAATGTCTGAACACCGCGTACCCGCCGACCGTGAGTATGGCCACCGCTGCCAGTGTGATGCCGAATATGAACGGCACAGTCTCGTTCCGCATGGCTCCGGCGCCAATCGACGAACACTGGTAAGCTAAAACAAAACGGACGATGGGCCATGAGTATGGTTTTATGTATTTCGCGCAAAACGCACCCTCAATTGCAAAGTGTACAGCCGCAGCAAAAAACATTAATATCACGCGAAGGGCCGAACCGATTTATTTTTTTGTTTCAAATGTTCGGCAATTATTTGTCGCATACACTCTTAACGGTTAACATCATCCGTACACGGTAATAACATAGAGACAGGGACTGGAAAAAAAATTAAAAAAATAAATATCGAGATACTGAATACCGGACATGTCATATTTTCACCTTCATATTCACAATACATTCAGTATTTTTGAAAATATACTAGACACTAGTAACAGTATCATTAGGTTTCAGATGAATGACACCGGATACTAGATACCGGATACGTTGACAAAAATATTCAGAGATATAATTAAAAAATAAATCGTATTTTATGTAAAAATATCAAAGTGTAACACATTCGAATATATTTTCAGGGTATTAAGCTGAAAAGACTGAAGAAAAATTGCACGACATTAAAAAATAATAATATGTTTACAGCGAGAATATTTTGAAACTGATGTTTTACAGTTATTCTTCTGGAGTATTAACATATTGATATTAAATTGTAACGATTGTTACGTATTATTAGTCTAATCATCTAATATGGATATTGTAGAGTGTACATTACGTTCCATCTAGGGCATACATCATATATCACTTTGTAAATCCAACGGCTACGCAAAATATGTAAGACAAGGTAGTTGCGCCACGACGTCCAATTAATGTAGCTGAACTTTTGATGTAGAAGTTCATAGTTCACAATCAGTATTTAAACATGTATATTAAATATTAATAACTAAACTAAATCAATCTACATTTATTTGTAATACTAAGATTTTTCCTTTTATGCTCTTGAGCTATGGTATAATATATTCAAAAGAACTAAAAAACCTTTCCTGAATATCATATATTTAACAGGTCAACCCCGACTACGTTACAACAAAATATTATTTTATTGTTGTGCAATAATGTCTGTTTTAATGTTCTCATTGTCTGTATATTATATTACTATATATTCGCGTGCATGCAGTAAGTTTTCGTTTTGATTGGTGCGTTGAAATCAGGACCCTCTTTAATTTAATCACAACATCCAAGGTACACTATTGATGGAACAATATTTGTGTTTATTTTAGGTTTGATTATCTTATTATGCGTTCAAAGCCACAACATAAGTATTATCAGTACGATGCGGTATTATCAACAATATTGCTTACCGAGCACCTCCGGTATGTTTTCACCGGTGTTGGTAAACGAGGGTGGGTCGGTGTTGCGTTTTTAAGTACTTAAGTCGGTTAATTCTAACTATCCAGTACTGCGTTGAATTCGTAGGTAGCAGATGAATCAATGAAATAGAAATATGTTGTAGTTAAAGAGGTTTTTGGGCGATCGTTTCACGACGTGTTTTCATGCAAGCTTACAGAAACCTTCAGGCTAATATTAAATGCAAAACACGATGCAGAAATCGACTTAAACGGAACGTTTCTCTGGTTTGGTTTGATTTAAGTCCGAAACCACGTTCACTGTATTTATGCGCATTAATAAACATGTACAGAAGTTAATATGAAGTGCTTGAAACTTTTGTTCTATTGAACTTTTTAAAAGTTATTTTCGAGCCATTTGGTGTTCAATATTGTGAAAAACGTGAAGACGATGTAACTGAAAATCGATCCTGTGCTCAAATCTGTGTTGGATAAATACATATGTTTATTTAGCGTTTCTAGGATCAAATATATACTGTAGAACTTTTGGAAACAGTCGAAAAATGTTGATCGGGCAACTTAATTTGACTTTCACCTCTTGGTAAAATATTGTAGGTCAGCTTTAAACAAAATGTCTAAGCTTTGCGGCGATGGCAGTGAACATTTCTTATTAGTTCCTCTACCCAACATATTGGAACATAGACGAGCCACTGTTCGCTAGTCTGATGATATCGACGATAGAACAGCACTCCTTTGACGAGATAGTAATATTGATGTATCGGTGACGATCTGTTTGATCAGTCTATGAGGATCTTGATAATTTTCGACAGAATGATGTCCTGACATTATGTTGCAAAAATTTTACAGAACAAGGAAATTGGTTGATTTTAATCTTGGCGTACAGTTTTGGATGTAATCATCAACAGGCATTGACAAGAGTAGTCGGCATTTCGTTTCTTCCTATGGTATTGCAAGAGAGCGATAAAATAGATAATATTGTCAATTCAATAATGTATGAAACTTTTAGCTCAACTCAGAACGAATACTTACATTCAGATGCACAATTAATTTACATGTCTGAAAACAATTCCTTTTTTACAACGAACGGTTATCGACGGCAATAATAACGTTCTACAATGCGACTACACGCAGACTATTACCGGTCCATGGGAATTTATATGATTCGGATAGGAAATGGTTATGTATAGGAACTTAATATACGGAATCACCGCTTACCGAGTTATAACAAATATTTAAATATCGTTTACTTTTTGTGATTATCTCGTTTGTATTGCTGGGGCTATTCACTCTTCATCGATTAACAAACACGAAACAAAATAGCCGATGACTCCATCGAATACATTTTAATTGAATACCGAAAACAAAAAGATAATGTAATAAATATAATAATAAAATCAACCGATCAGAGTCGGCACGTACGTTGCCGTACACAAACAGGTAATTAAAATTATAATCAACACAGGCTGATTATGCCGCGTCGTTTTATCTGTGGTGTATGACTTTCACACATGGTCTCAAATGTTGTATATTAATATGTGAATACGATCCAGAACTTTATTTTAATTAGGTAATATACGAAATTGAATTGCATGCAAATCAAATATTGGAATGTTTGGTTCCATAACCATACAGTACCTTTTATAATTATGCTGATTATCGTGAATTTCGTACATTTTCAAATATTTGATTTGTTTGGTTTCTTTTCTTAACTTTTATTCTTTTTTTTTTTTTACAAATTATTCCGAAAAAAAAAAGAGGAAAAAAAATGAAGGAAGATTATAATAGTTCATTCTGGCAGGGTCGCCATCTACGACGTCTCGCAGCATTCATTCAGCCGGAGCGCCGTGTGACGGACTCTACGATTGGAGGGTCACCAACCTACAACCGAGACTTGGAAGCTGGAGCTCGCAAAATTATTTTTTTATTTATATATAAAACATATTACAACAAAACCATATTACCTCGAAGCGATACCAGTGTGTTACATCCTAAACCGTCCGCGTTGATTGCCTATCGGCAATTATACCGTACGAGGGACTTAAGAGGTTTACTCCATGATGAAAAAAACACTATATATTTTCGGATATGTTGGTAATTCATTAAGATAACAAAATAATAACCAAAAAAAAAAAAAAAAAACCGTGAGAATATCGTTCTCTTTAACGGTCGAAAAAACGATTATTCGCGAGTGCTGCGTGTATGATGATATCGAAAAATAATAATAATCATTAGGACCTTTTCCGATTCGTACGTTACAATCTCTAAAACTTAATAAGCCATCGATTCATGTCGAAATAAATATGGAAAAACATTAACGTTATTTAAGGTTCTCAGTTTTCTACGAATCACAAGAAAAACAAGAAGCTAACCGTAATATGGTACGAGATACTATCTAGAGCACTGTTTGTGTACGGTTTCCGATTTCAAATGTTGTTTCGTGACATTTTCGCGTAGATTTATTATACCTGTACGACGAATAAGAGTTGAAAACTAATTATAAAACCGATTTATCTCTCGCTTTGTTCGGTGTATTAAAGTGGTTTGATAAGGAAGTTGGTATTCGGAAAAATTATAGAGAGAGAAAAAGAGAGAGAGAGAGAGAGAGAAAGTGTACAAGTTTGGGATCGCTGTATACTTATCAAAGAGAAAGCATTTTACGGTTAAAGTTGTGTTTTTCAAAGAAAAAAAAAATAACAAACGCACGTAGCGTCCTTAGCGTCCCAACATATTGCTCGATTTGGTAAAAGTTAAAATACACACGCACACACACACATATATATTTTATAGTGTAAAATTGTTTTTGCGAAACGATTCGTTCGGGAGAAACGTTATTTTAAGCATTAGCAACGACAACACAGCAACATAACGCTGATGACGGTAGTAGTGGAACGCGGATGGCCGTTGAATCCGGTCGCATGGGTGGGTTCGTTGCGTGTGGGCAACGGTGATAATGGTCGCGCCGACGGAGCAAAACAGGGCGACAGGGTAAACAACCGCGACGAGGCGAAAATATTTTCGCAGCGCAAGATAAATAGTTATTAGATGCCGGCGGAGACCGTTCGCGGCGGCCAAAGGTGGAACTGGGAATTCTCACGCCCGGGAAAAATGTTAAAATTACGCCCTATCATAAAATGATTATCAAATATTCTTCTTGAGAATTTTTTTTTTATACAATCATACTTATAGAGTTTTAACCTAACATCAGTATTTTGTAGAGTTAAAAATATCAAATTGTTGTTAAATTACACCCTCTAAAATGCTACGCCCGGGGATGAATCATCGTCTTCCACCTCCTAGTTCTGGCCCTGACGGCGGTGACAAAACGTCGGAGCGGTGCGCGCGCCAGTGTTGTAGCCGATAACGCGCGTTTTAACGGGCTAAACACACACGCCCGTGTACACGGTTTACGAAGGCGTTGTGCGAAACGAAACGGCCGCCTATGGTTTACGTTCGGTAACGGATATGACCGAGATACGTACACATCCATAAAATGGTCGTACGGATTACGCGCTAAAATATGACGTTGAAAAAATAAATAGAAAACACTAAAATTTCCCTCTAGGTGGGTGGCTGTGATGACGTCATCTCGACCCCGCCTAAGGTTTTACGTTCGACAACGGATAAAACCGGGATTGTACAGATTCAGAAAACCGTCATGCGAATTTCGTACTAAATATTGGTGAGGACAAAAATTCGAACAAGGCGGGGCTGGGGTGATATACGTGCCGAATCTGTATGG